TGCATAAGTACAACTTATTAAACCTTTATGTTTGAATTCGTGTAACTAACTGCGGATAAACATAATCAAATATAGGATAAGCATCTCATTTTGAAATATAAAAATTCTAAATTATAATTAGGATAATTATCGAGTTCTAACAAAATAATTAATTATTATCGTTATAAGAAAATTATATTATTAAAACAAATATAAATTACTTTGTTATTTAACCTAAATTAAATTATAATAAAAAATTTGAATTAAAAAATTACACAAAAAATAGGAATTTTAAATAGTTAATTTGATATTAATATCGATATATTTTTGTCAAATTTTTATGATATCTTCAAATGTATATTTTATTCAAAAATAAAAATATCATCATTTTTTCAAAAGCACATAAGACCATACTATAACATCGACTGAAATAAATAATAAAACGAAACATTAAAATCGAGATATCTCATTCATAATGAACGAACCTTATCATCTTCCATATATATCTCAATCATAATTAATGAATCATGATAATTGTCCATAAATATCTCAATTGTTTTATAACATAATAGCTTGTAAGAACTACATGTTTTGTAATTGAGATCACCGTTATTTATTACCATTTTTGTAAATTATATTCATATGATTATATATTATTTAAATTATATTACATATATATTTACGATTTCTTTCTTTATTTGTTTTATTACATACATATAGTGGAGACGTTTCATTTATAAACCATCTAATTTTAAATGACTATACAAATCATAATCAATGCTTATATTAGAAAAAAATAGAGATATTTTTATTAACAGTTATCATAATTAATTAATTACGATTGAGATATATATATATATATATATATATATATGAAAGATGATAAGGTTCGTTCATTATGATCATGAATTTTAGATTAGGAAACTAAATAAAATCATATATTCATTAGACTAGATAGACGGTTAAAATTGATTTGTAAGGTTTGTTAGAACCGGATAGTTTGTAAATGAAACGTCCCATACAGGTTCGAAGGAAAACTCGAAATAAAATGGAAAGCCAGAAAATAATGAAAAATATATATGGATATAGATGTCAAATCAATGAGAAAAATACGATTGTTTTTTGGTGTAATTTGTTTTGTTCGAATTTTGATCATATTTCATATTTTTCGATTTCAAAAATAGGGGGTGGGAGATTTTTTTTAATTTATAATAAACTTGTAACCGCCTCTTTAATCACACTCATTTGAATCAATTAATCTAACGGTTGATAAAGTGCTTTTCGATTTATACGCATAGGATCGTGTGAGAAGGAGGGTTAAGATGAGAAGCGTAAGAAGGGATTTAGATCCTTGATCACCTTTAATCTCAAACTCATCCATGAATCCTACGTGACATGGGGATTGATCTTGTGCATCTCGGTGCATTTCATCTCTGTATATTACATCCTAATGTGTATTGTATCCAAGGGTGAAAATCATTTCTTACGCTTCTTACTTTAACTCTCATTCTCACTGAACCTAACCATATATATATATATATATATATATATATATATATATATATACACACACACATATTTTCAAATACAGCCCTTCTGAAACTTACAACCGTTACAACCAAGGGTATTTGTGTCATTTTATAAAATTCGTACTTTTAAGAATAATTAACTTCCTTAAATATCTTATATAATAACAAACAAATCAGATTTACCTTGAAAATTATTAATTCATTAAATATCAAATAAACCATGATTTTAATTTTTTTAGTTCTTTTGTTATATTGTTATTATATGAATATTCTGAATCATCTTCATCTTCATCTTCTTTTTCAAATCTGTATATGAAAAAATTCACAAAAGATTTTGAAACCATATGTAAAAAAATTCATCACTTTTTCATATATAAAACCATGTACAAAAACGATCTCTATATGAAAAATCCATATACAAAAATACACCATTTTTTCATATATGAAACAATATGAAAAATGATGAAAAAATTGAAGCAAACATGATTGATGCACGGTAGATAGTTGAGAATGAAGTTTGAGATAAATGAGTTTAATTCCTTCTGGCGCCTTAATTCGTTATAGAATTATGAACTTCTCTGTTGCCTTGTCCTGTAGCTATCTTCCTCCTCGTTGCTTATCGGAAATGACGAGTCTGTTACCCACAACTACCTAACTACCGGACTCTTTCCAAATCCATCGAGTGTCGGAAATGCAGTGGCGCTCGTCACCATCTGTGGTGCCTTTATCATTGCCGCATCCACGATTATCTCATCATGATCATTGCCGGCAATCGCTGACTTCTTGCGCGAGATCTTTTTCCATGGTGTTTCTTAAAGGAGTGGGTAAGTGGGGATGTTGTTGCAATTCCTCGGCCGTGAGAGCGAGAGCGAGAGTGTGTGTGTGTGTGTGTGTGTGTGTGAGAGAGAGAGAGAGAGTAATTGAGATAATGGAGGAGAAAAATGTGGAGATAAACAAAGGACGGTCTAGATTGGGTTGTATTGGTTGTAACCTTTAGAGATGTTGCATTTGAAAATGCGACTACATGTGTGATAACCTTAAGAACGTGTGCATAATGTGTTATTTCAGGGTTTTTTTTTCCATCTTAAACTAAATTTAGAATATTGATTAACATATATTTGTTTCATGGTGTGATTGTTTCACATGTACTCATTTCACAATGTGAACCTTTTTAGCATGTTGTGAAACAAAAAATACACATAAAAAAGTTTCACGTTGTGAAACCAACTACATGTGAAACAAATATATGTTAATCAATACATTAGATATTATACCTAGATAGAAAAAAAGTTATAGGAAATGACACATGATGTAGAAGTTCTCAATGTGGGATAACCAAAAGCACACAATACTATAATATTTTAAAATACTTAAATCTTGTAAAGATTTTTTTTATTTTCTATGGTTAACTATTTTGCTAAAAGGGGGTTAGCCAAAATGTGTCCACCCATGAGTTTGGAGTGTCAGTCAAGAGGAGCCAAAACATGAGTTAAGAGGATTAGCCAAGAATAGTCAATCTCATGAATTGTAACAAAGACATCTCAACCTCCCTTCGTATACTAACCACTTATCGTCAATCATTTATCTCTTTACTAATTTAGTATACACAAACTCAATCAGGACATCTGAAATCACAAGACCGACAGTGTGTGGTAACAATAATTTGAAAGTTGGCATTCTGTCTGTTGATACAAAAATCACAATAATTTTTTTAAAGAAAAATTGCAACAATATAAAATCAATTTTGTTTACGTCTCAATCGGTTTCACGGGGAACCCTTTTTTAAGGACACCAATTTGAAAGAGGGGGGGGGGGGGGGGGGGGGGGTTGGCTTACTCAGCACTGAGGCTACCAAAGGATCCGAAATCTAACTCAAGTCCTGTATTATATTTAGATATATCATCTCATCTCTTTTTCAACAACGTTACAATGAATGACATATCATTAAGCATATCATAAATATATTTAAAAGGTTTAGTTAAATATATAAATTCGACAATAAAATATAATTGTCTTTGTGCCAGTCATCCTGTGATTTTTTGTCAATAAGCTAATATTATCTTCCATTATTGAAACATCTTTTTTTGCCTTTGTAAATTTGGCAATAGAGCACGATTCGTCCTTGATTTTATTTATTAATTACTTTTTTTTAAAATCTAACTTAATGAGATTCATGGCTTATTCAAACAGTTATACATGATTCTTTCACAGTGACTTAATGATGTAGAAAGTAACTTAATTAATAAGCTTCTAAATAAAGCTTTATGCAGAAAGACATGTTTTTATCCAAATATATCTCTCCTAATTAAAATACACGCTCTTTCCGTCTATGAAAAAAAAACTCTCTCAATCTATACAGAAAGATTAATCCACACAGATAGACTTAACGGAAAACCAACCAAATAAGCCTTTAGAGACGTTTACCAAACGCTTATCGACAAAATTCACCGCCCATAATTTAACATTCTTGGCCATCAATATGTATCGTTTATAAGTGTCTTTTACTCGGAAAACTAATCGGGTACGAGTATCTCCCTCACTAACTGGATAAGATTCTCAGTCTGTATCATGCCCATTCGTAAGATAAACACTTACCCAGTAAGCATTAGGTGAACAAGCTCTTAGTACTATAAATTTTAAAAATATGCTTTTATATATCTATAATACATCTTTAAACATTTTAAAAAAAGTTTATACATTGATATGCTATTAAAGATTGACAAACATCTATAAGAAATAATGAATTAAGAAGATCAAACTTCATCAGACTTGTAAATGATTTTCTGGTATAACATGAAAGCGTTTTATTCTGGTACAGGTTTATGTATCTCAGTGACCTTTGCATAATGCTAAGAAATATGCAAATTGTAGCACAAATGTAGATGCCGATCTGATGTTGTATCGGGTTAGATATAACATTAAGATAATCAAAAGAGAAAGTTGCGGCATCTGTTAAGACGACAAAACTTTCTGAACCTCGACGGTCACCTCCTTAGGGGGGTTTTCCGCATGAAGCTTTGCAACAACGCCCTTCTTTTTGTAGTAGTCTATAACCTGCAGTTTACACATTATATCAGCGTTTCAATCTCAAGGAAATCCCATGATAATGACAACGATTGAGCTCAAATCTGAGTCTCATCTTCGTTTGTTTCTACCAAATGCAGATGGGACCCATAACATACATATGAATGCCCCCACAAGATCCAAAACCAAAACGATCCTTGTACATCAAATGACAGGGCATATGGCAAAATGTGGGTCCCATCTGCATCCCGATACTACCTGATGCAGATGGGATCCATAGTTGTATCTTCTAACGCCATATGAATGGCCCACAAGATCCAAACCAAAACGATCCTCGTATATCCACTCAAGGGTGGGGTCAGGGGTAGGGGGTGGGATGTACGCAGACATGATCTCTACTCTAAAAGAGTATGGCTATTGTTTCCATGAAACCCACCGGCTTGTAAAAAGTGTGGGAATGCCTCACAAGATGAAGATGTTAATACATCAAAGAAGATCTGTAAATCTAGATTATCCATTCATTCATCGAAATTATGTAAACCAACCATTAAACAGGTAAAACGAAAAGTAACGATTATTGGCAAGATCTAGTGCAAGTAACCTTTGTGATAATGGTCTACCACTTGACATGTCCTGTTAAAATTGCAACATGCCTTATTAATTCAGGGATGTTTCAAGTAGAAATTACCTATTTGCACACTTTATGGCTACAAATAAATAGATAGTATCGATTTGTCTACAAGATTTCTTGTTTTGTCTTTGTTGAAGGGTATTTTAGATATTTAACAACTAATTAATCACTTCCCTTAAAAACCAAACAATGTACGCAATATGTCCCACTCCAAAATAGGCTCTGACAGTACAAGATCATGTATAATTTTCCAACAAGATTAGGCAAAGAGCACTTACGGGTTCAGTTTGGCGGTGAAAAGCCTGGAGCCTTGACTTGAGAACTTCTGCGGTATCATCTTTCCGTTGCATTAAAGGCTCTCCAGTAACCTACAAGAAGAAGAAACAATAAGCATGCAATAAGAATGGGTTTGGTCATCAAGATTCAAGACCCACAAATTACTATCCTGCAAGAACTGTGGCAGTATGGTATGAATTAGACCGACTAACAGACTATATACAGAATGATCATTATCATCGTGTTGAACTTTTAAAAGTTGCTATACATCAAATCATTTAAACAAGAAGATTATGCCTGTATTTTTCTCGAAGTTAACCTATGATGTACAATATTTGTGCACCATAGGCACACCAAGGCTGTTGGCTTTCTAAGGGTAGGGAAAGACATCTCAGCAGGCAACTTTGCATTTGCAATTAGCAAAACATTTGTTTTACTGAAACCCGTGATATTCTGGTCACAAAGAAGTAGCCTCACTAACTTACTCCAAGCTCACGTTTTCAATAGTCAACTACTCTAGGGAAATACAGGACTTGCAAAAAGGCATCACGTTTCTATTAAGTGAAACGGTTGTTGTAAATGGTGAACCTTCGTTCAACAGGAAGGCTACTCGTTTGTTGACAATTAATATAATCACAACTCACAAGCGCGAAGCTGCATAAAGAAAATACTTCAGAACCCAAGCTACAGCCATGCTAACTGAAGCTAATCTGTATGCAGTTGAACTCCATAATATCTTTCAAAGTATAAAGAGTATAATACTCCCTCCCACAAAAACTGCAACCATTTCCATTTTAGGATGTCTTCCTTTATTGGCAACTCCTTAAGCTACAGTTGTAAAGAATGATGATTTTGATTTGGGTGCAAATTTTCCTCTATTGTTGGTAGTTAAGGATTATTTAAGATATGCCAAATAGTAAATTAAAGATGTATGTTAAACTATTTTCTAGTCAAAGGTTGCACTCTCCATGTGACTGAAGAAGCAACACTATGTAGCATCTTAAGACCATTCATAGTCATTGCAGGATACATATATACACACACACATCCGCACGGAGTAATAACCATATTGGATCATATATTAAAATTGCAACGCTTAGTTCAGCAATTGAGACATTGCTATGGGAAGTGCTCAACTATTTATCAAACAGTATAAAATTCCCTTCAAGGATGACAAAATGAAGGAATTTTGTTATTTTTGTAAGGTTGACAATCAGCAAATAGGTAACTTTTAATCATGACTAAAAACGAAACTAAGCAATTTTAATGAGGCGTCCCAAAATGAGAACAAATGTAACTTTCATGAGATGAAGGGAGCACGAGATATCTAGTATCTCTTATGGCTTACATCATCAACGCCGTGAACCTTGGGAGGTGCAAACTTCGTGTGGTATGTTCTACCACTTGAAGCATGGATCCAACGACCAGTAATTCTCTCCTCCAAGATGGAGTCATCGATTGCAAAATCAAGCACTTTATCAATCTTGGTTCTTTGCTTCTCAAGCATTTCGTCAAGCTGTAAAAAACAAATCAAGGGTCTGATGTTAAATGTTAATCATTTAGGCCATTTAACATTTTAAAATTTCATTTTCTTATATTGTGTGCACATAAATGAAGATATAACTTCAAGATGAATTCTCGTTATCTGAGTCCTGAGACCATCAAAATGCATAATGATTCAAATGATGTAAACAGATTGTGAAAGGATCAAGAAACCTTTTCTGCTTGGGCAACTTTTAAGTTGAATTCACGTTATCTGAGACCTACAAAATGCATAATGATTCAAATGCTGTAAACAAATTGTGGAAGGATCAAGAAACCTTTTCTGCTTGCGCAACTGTCCTAGGAAACCCATCAAGAATGAATCCCTTTTGACAAGATGGCTTCTTCATTGCTTCATCAATGATCCCAACCACCAAGTCATCAGACACTAGTTCTCCCTAAGAAAAATTGTGAACGAAACAAGTCAAAACAAAGAACAAATAAACCTAAGGAAATAACACCAAGTCAACACACACCAACTATAAATAACATAACCAAAGTGGCATAATCTACCTTCTCCATGGTTTCCTTGGCTTTAATCCCGAGTGGGGTTTTAGCTGCAACAGCTGCTCTCAACATATCACCTGTTGCCAAGTGGCATAGGCAGTATTCATCCTTAATGATGGGGGATTGGGTGCCTTTTCCAGACCCGGGTGGACCTACATTTCATCCGTTTGCTCATAAACATTGAATTGAACACATAGATGGCAATACCTATCAATCTTAAGAACATAAAAAACTCCAACTAAAGAAAATCGATCAATGTATTCAAAAAGGCTCCCTTGAGAGCTCTTCAATGATCAAAGGGGATTTAAGATTCATATTAGTGGTTAACTCTAAAACGTAATATAGTTTAGTAACCCAATTCATAAGAACATTCACAGATATCAAAGAACAGACCCCATCAAGAAGAATGAATCATACTATAATAAATAATCTTATCGCAAAAATGAGAAGGGGTTGAGAGGGAAGAAAATAAAACTTCCATTCTTGAGGTCATACCCAAACTTTTCAAATGCAAATTTAAAATCAATTTTGTTTGCGAATTAACTTTTCACATTTCTTATTTGTGATTTTATAAAGAGTGATGTAACAATCATATTCTTATATAAAAAAGCCTAAAAATTGACATCAATTTTGAAGACGAAAAAGTTAAGCCATGAAATCAGAACTATAGTAAAATTGTGACATAAAAGCATTGGCAGATCGAAGAAAGCAAAATTCCACCAATAAAAAACCAGCAAACGAATTACCATGCCTCGCCTTAAACTTGTCAAGGATGGTAAATAGATCAACAAGGTTTGTAATGGCGGGTTACGGATTCAAAATCTCCCCAATTCATGGAAACATTTACAGATCTTAAAAACAAAACCCCACAGCGAAAACCCAACAAAATCAAACCCCTAAAACTCAAAACAGACGAATCACGTAATTTCAAAAGAATCACAAAAGAAAAAACGGTCAATTGTAATACCAATGAGGATGAGGCGTTTATCGGGCTTGGAGGAGCACTTGAATCGGCGAAGGAGTTCAGTCATGATGTCCAACGAAGGTACGTCTTCCAAGGAGGTGCTGCTGGTTGCCATTTCTCCCTCTTTCAACAGTGATTTTTGGTGAAGAAGAAGAAGAAGAAAAGGTGCAACCACCAATGAAGAGTGAAGTTAAGATGGAGAGATGAGGAGGAACAAGAAGAAGGCGGGGTTTTCAAAGCTTTGATCAATGCCACTCCTTTTGCTTTTCTTTTTCTTTTTCATTTTCTTTATATCTGCGAAAAAGGCAAAACCCTTTTTTTCCAAATATTTTTTAATTTCAATCTTTTTTAATGTTTTTAAATTTGTACTTTTCGTTAAGAGGTAGTTGTAGTATATATAGATATATATGTATATACTACAATTATGAACAAGATGAATTGAAGAACAATAATCCAGTGATTTATATAAGACCATATGACTTATTTATACATACGTATATATTCTAATAATATTAGTCAATATGTGTTACCTGTTTGGCGCCAAATGAAGAAACACGTGTGACAATATATTTGACAGTTAATGGGTTCCTTGATGGATGGAACTGCTATTACTCTGTTATGTATAAATTCTGTTTTACGCCATTTCATCCAACTCTCTCAAGAACACCAAGATCCTGAAATCGCCAATTTCCATCAAATGGTTAGGGCATAAAAAGGGTGTATCTTGATAAAGTATGGGTGATGAACAAGAAAGCGACCCAAATCAGAATTCCACAATCTTACCAGGTATGTCATCAAATTCGAACTCTTATATGGAAGTCTGTAGTTCAATCGATGTGTTATAATCACGATTTTGTTTTGAAATTAAACTAACAGTAGTCTCTGAATTATTATGAGATAAATTTTGTTTGGTAAAAAAAAATTTACTTCTTAATAGTTTTAAAATCATCTGAATGATTTTGTTTTAATTTGTATCATGGGTCTGCTTTAACCATTCACCACTCTAATTTCATTGTAAACCATTACCAAACAATTATATTTCATTTTGTAATATATCATGAGAGTCTATTAATCATTCTGATCATTTAATCATTTTAAACCAAATCATTAAGCAACCGTCAAACAATCCTGAAATCTAATATTATCTCTAACTAAAAAAATGTTGAAGATATTAGAATAAACTACAAAAATTTAGTCCATGGTTCGTCAAAAATAACATTTTCGTTTTTGCGGTTTCAATATTACAAGATGTTCATCGTGTTTTACAAAAAATATTAGGCTCTGGTACCTTTCTTTAACAAACATTAAAAAATTCCGTTAAATGGGGGATGTTTTTATCGATTTTTTGTCTTTTATATAATCGAAAACCATAGGGACCAAAATCATGAAATCGATGTTGATTGAGTAAAAGACAAAAGAATCGACAAAAGGACGAAAATTAATCTCCTTTGACCAAATTTTTCAACGGTCGTTAGTGGGAGAAGCAAGTCTAAACATTTTTGCAAACCATGGTGGCCATGCCACGTTTTGGAGGTTTGACATTGTCATGGCATGTGAAAGGGTACGACTATGTCAGCGGGCTTCTTTTTGTGGATTCTAGAGATTTGGCATGACCGTGTCGGCTTGATAAAGTCAACTCGTTTTTGTTGTTAGAGTTCTTTGTGATTGCAACATGTTGTTCGTAAAGAACATACACCGTCATTCCAATGGAGAACCATGTTAATGTTTGATTCTAATTTAATTAACTGTTGATTATTTTAACGTTTTGTTGGTTGTTTTTTAATGTGGATCCATGCTATTTTGCATAGTTATTGATGGAACTTGCGATTTTATCATTTGAGGCGTTGTGAATGATTTCAACGGATCTAATCATATTACAGATGTACATTAATCTCAGTGACATTGAATCCTCGCTTATTTTTGGATTTACCTAAAAAAAAGTATATACTAATAAAACTTTTTGATTGTCTATTTATGCATTAAAAGTTCTATTTTAAATCAATATCTTATTTAAAACTAGGGTAAACTGCAAATTTCGTCCTTGTGGCTTGTCAAAAACAACACTGTTTGTTTATGCAGTTTCAGAATTACCAGATGGTCATTGAAAATATGTCTGGATTTAGTCAATCATTCTAATGGTTGTTAAAAAATTCCGTTAAATGACGGACATTTTGTCTTTTTATCAACATTTTTTTGTCATTTACCCATCAAAAATCACAGGGACCAAAATCATAAATTCGATCTTGATCGGTTAAAAGTTAAAAAAATCAGATAAAAGGAGAAAAATACCCCTCACTGGACGGAATTTTTTTTAACAACTATTAAAAGGAGTGATCAAATCCGAATATTTTTTTTATAAATCACAGTGGTCATCTTATAACTTTGAAATTATAGGGACTAAAAGTGTTGTTTTCAACTAGCCACAAGGACCAAATTTTTAAATGTTTGACGGTTGGTAAATGGTTTGGTGCAGATTGATTAAGAGACTATCATGATATATTGCAAAATGAAATATAATTGTTTGATAATTGTTGTCAATGAAATCAGGGCGCTGAATGGTTAATGGAGGCCCATGATACAAAATCAATAAAAGAGTTTTATGACCATTAAGAAACAGACTTTGTTTTTGACAAACAAAATTCACCTCTTAATGAAACTATTAAAAGATAAACAAACAACTTCTTACTCTTAAAACTATTTAGGTGCTTTAAATATTCACGTAAATAACTGCATCATAGTTCCTCAAAATTGGCCCAAATCATATGGGTCATACTAGGCTCATACTAAGTGGGCTTAGGCCCAATTTTAGTCGAACAATTTGATCGTGAATGTAAAAAAAAGGGCATAAAGGGACATAATATGAATTAATGAAAGGATAAAACTGTAAGTTCATTTTTCATGTTTGATGTGACATTTTTTTTTAAATACTAGAAGCGTACTTGCGCAATGCAGCGAGATACATCGTGATTTTAATATTTCATTTTATTTTTTATCTCAGTCGATGTTATAATATGACTTTATGTGATTTTGAAAAATCGATGATATTTTTATTTTTGAATAAAATATATGTTTGAAGATATCAATAAAATTTGACAAAAATATATCGATATTAANAAGAAATCAATCATACAGTTGACTGATTACACATACATATAATTAACATAGTGTAATTTTGCTTCTTGATCCAGGATCACCAAATAAAATAGATAGACAACAATTTCTATCTCACTCAGCCATTACCCTATGAATGTAGTTAACTTTGCACCTCTAAATGGTGTTAACTACAAGAAATGGAAGGAGGACATTGAACTTATGTTAGGAATTTTAGATTATGATCATGTCCTTAGGGAAGACCCACCAACAGAACCAGCAAATAATGCAGCTAAGGAGATAAAGCTTAAATATCAAGAGTGGCATAAACATAACAGGATAGCCTTAATCTATATAAAGAGATGTATCACTGATGCTGTTAAGGGAGGTATTCCAGAATCAGACCTTGCTAAAGTGTATCTAGCATCTATTGCTGATAAATACAAAGTTTCTGATAAGGCTGAGACAGGCTACCTAATGAATAAGTTAATCAGAATGACTTTCAATGGACAAGGAAGCATAAGAGAATATATTTTGCAAGGTATTGACACTGCTTGCAAACTCAAGGAGATGAAAATCTCAATAGATGATTCCTTCCTGGTTCATCTTCTKCTGAACTCCTTACCAGATCAGTATAGCCATTTAAGAAGTTTRTACAACACACAAAAGGAGAAATGGACATTGGATGAACTGATTACCATTTGTGTCCAAGAAGAGTCAGAARTTAAGAACAAGGGTAAGGCTGTGAGCATTAACCATATATCCAAAGCCAAAAACAAAATAAAGAAACACTTTAACTTCAACAAAGCAAGTCCCTCTACTTCCTCGATCCAGAATGTTAAAGATAAAGGAAGGTTCTTCAAAAGGAAAAAGGAACAAAAGTGTTTCTTTTGCAAGAAGGCAGGGCACTTTAAGAAGGATTGTGCTGGATTCAAGGAATGGTTAAGCAAAAAGGGTAATATTAATCATCTCTTTTCTTTAGAAACCACATATTATAAAATTGATCATACATGGTGGTTTGATACGGCTTCACCCATTCATATTATTAACTCAATGCAGGGATTATCAAAGATAACAATCCCAAGGGCGAATGAGTCAAAAGTATGTGTAGCAAATGGACAAGAACTAAAGGTAGAAGCTGTTGGAGAATGTAGATTACTATTTAAGAATGCCTACGTTATAACATTGAACGATGTGTATTATATACCTAGAATAAAAAGGAACCTAGTGTCAGGTTCTCGAATTGTAAATGATAACAATGTTTCATTCTATGCTGATAAAGATTGTATGCTATTCTATTTGAATGATGTATGTTTTGGAAATGCATACTTGATAGATGGGTATTGGTACTTGAATTGTATTAATGAAACCATCAATAAAGGATACAAAAGAAATATATACTGCATAAACAAAATAACAGGAAGCATAAAGAAACATAAGCAAAATGTTTCCTCATTCTTGTGGCATAAGAGGTTAGGACACATATCAAAGTTTAGACTACAAGAACTGGTGAGACAAGGAATCCTACYAGATTTAAACTTTGATGATTTTGAAACCTGCATAGAYTGTTTAAAAGGAAAAATGACAAACTCTAGGAATTTYCAGTCTAAGAGAAGCCAAAGTATTCTTGAGCTGATCCATACAGATATATRTGGACCTTTCCCAGTCAAAACAATATGTGATAATAAATATTTTATTACATTTATTGATGACTATTCAAGGTACTGCCATATATTTCTAATGGCARAAAAATCTCAAGCATTGGACTGTTTTATCAGCTTCAAAACTGAAGTTGAAAGACAAAGTGAGAAAACTATTAAGACAGTCAGATCAGATAGAGGAGGAGAATAYTTTKGAAAATATTCGGAAAAAGGACAGCATAAGGGACCTTTTGCCACATACTTGGAACAAGTTGGAATTAAAGCCGAATACACAACTCCATACACTCCAACACAAAATGGAGTATCGGAGAGAAAGAATAGAACCTTGATGGACATGGTTAGGAGTATGTTTGCAAGATCAAATTTGCCAAAATTTCTYTGGGGAGAAGCCTTRAAAACGGCAAATTACATTAGYAACAGAACTCCAACCAAAGCTATAAAAGGGACACCTTTTGAATTGTGGAATGGAT